AGCTTATAGTTTTATTGGGTCCGAATTGTAGAATATACAGATATATAAAAGCTTATTGAGATTAAACTTATTCACTTTAATTTACATCTAGAATAAAGACATTGTATTCAATGTTGTATATTTACATTTAGAGTAATTTTGCTAATGAAATCCATTGGAAATCTTTAACATTCAATACCCTATAACACACAAAAGACACTGCGCGGGAGAATACACATTAGGAACTACATGCATTTTTAATACTCTAGGAATACCAAATGTATATTGCTAGACTCAATTTAAAAAAAAAAAAAAAAAAAAAAAAAAAAAAAAAAAAAAACAATTGCCCTATTAAATTATCGTACAAATGTACAAATATAACAACTCTACCTTTGAAATTAATTTGTCATTTTTCTCTCTCAATATTCATTTGCGTTATTCTATATTCCACGTCACAACGCCTATTACGTCTATTAGCAAACCAGTTCTGAAAGGCGCTAAATTCATAATAAAGATGATCGAAATTAACAAATACGAAAACAGAAAATCAGAGAATGTAAACATAAGTATTGAATTCTTAGTTTTGGATGTCGTTGGTCCTATAACAGCACCTGTCAGGGCCACAGATCATCAGACCTCGCTAAGGCGCTGTATTCAATTTGTCGGCACGGCCAGGTGCTGTCATACGGTCAAGGACATCCAAAAATAAGATTTCAATGCTTAAATGTAATATATTGAATCTTAAAAGAAATGATTATAATAATTTTCAAAAATACCATAGAGAGAAGTTTAGAAAGCCTAACAGCTTGTCAATATCCGACATTAAAAAGAATCGCAATCAAGCTTTCCATATGTTAAAGAAATTGGGGTAAAATAGTTTTTTTTAAATGCAAATTAACTGGTGAGTGTTAAGAAATTAATTACAATAGTTTTTTGCATTTTGTTAACGAAGACATAAGAAATTCCTGACATTCTGTTTAAAAAAACGAAAGTGTTAAAATTTCAACAAAACTTACTTCTTTCTATAATTAAAAAGGTTGACCCTTGCATCTATTTCAAACAGCAAACACTTTACGTGCTAGGTTTAATACATGTATAATAATATTAAAAAAGACATTCACTTAGTATTTAACCAAAACAAATACAACACTTTGATGGAGTAAATTACATCTCAATCATGCCTTTTTGACACGTGAAACATTTAGAAACATGTAAAAACCCGGTACTTTAGGATGACCCACTAAGTACATGCTGTGTATGATTCTTTAAGCATTTAAAACCTTTAAATGCAGGCGGTATGTTGTGTTTTCCACGGTAGAGTAGTTCATCTCGACATTAGTTGGATTTTAAGTGATATTTAAAGATACGTACGTCGAGGAGAGGGTCATTTGGAATAAATAATACACTTCAGATTTACCGCGTTGTTAATATCTGAACGTGAATCAAACAATGCACAATCTATAATAAGAAGCTGCAAATTGTCGATCCTTCTAAATTGAAAAGAAATTAAAGTTGTGAAATTTTATATTTCCAGTTACATATCAGTAGTAAAAAAAAAAATAAGCTTGAGTCTTGAAAGTTTCCAATAAATTTAAAAGAAATGGTTTTAAAGAAAAACCGGCAATATTTTACGAAATATACAAGCAACTAAATTGAAAAAGTATGTGGCTAAGAACAAATCTTTATCTCATTTTCTACTTGAATATGTTACTTCAAAATAAAATGAATTCAAACGTATCCATTTCTATTACTTTCTTAAAAACTGTCCTCGTGTAAGGTTCAAAGAAGATAAAATGTACCAAGAATTATTTTTCTAAACAAATCCTCCGTGTTTTAAACCCCCTTTTTCTTTATGATAGAGTCTGAGGAATAACTTTTATATCCGATCGAGGATGTGAAGTTGTACAGAGTTGCCTTCCTTGCAATTCTTGTAAAAAGGAATGCGTTTGAGCGAATTTATTTTTGTTTAAAACGATTGTCTATTTTTTTTTTTTTTTTTTAGAGTTACTTGGTATCGTAAGCGTAAAAGGACTTTTGAAATGGTTTAAGGAAGTTAATTAACATTTAAGAGTTAAACGTTAAGAACATTTATTTAAGATTAATGCAAAATATGCAGTGTCTGTATACAAATATATCTCATAAAGCTTTTTTCACAAGTTCAGAGTCATCTAAGCCTCCATCTACTCACAAAAAGAATACAAATTTTACTGTGTGATTTTAAAAAGAATTTCTGAAGTTTGACAATATCGTTCTACAACATCAAATAAATAGAATTTACATGTTTTACTACATAATTATGGAAGAATTACAAGATTAGATTAATTCATAGATATACTTAAGAAAAATGCTTTCAAAATATATTAAATCAAAATGACAGGACACATATAATGATCCAAAAAAAAAAAAAAAAAAAAAAAAAAAAAAAAATGAGAAACTGGTACGTACATTTACATAAATACTTTAAGTAAAATATCAAGATTGAAAAAAAAAAAGAAAAAAAAGAAAGAACATGCATATCATGAGCATATATAGGAAAGTTAACTTTTGTATGGACATTTTCCAGCATTATACATCGAAAACTGTTATACATACTGAAGGAATAAAAAAGAAAAAAAATATTGTTACAATAAACATTCAAGTTATCACGAGTTTCCTCTCTGCGTATGTCATATACAAGACGCTATGCATGGGAAAAATGAGTACTGCATATGTATATTTCTATAATAAAAAAAAATCAGAAAAAAAAAATGAGAATACAAATAAACTTTTTGCTTATTACTATTAAGAAAAATATAATGTTGAAAATGAATCCCTTTTTATAATACAAGAGAATAATCATAATAGACGATTAATTTCCCTTCCTTACTATTGAAAGGAAACGTTAAACAAAGCACTGCCAATCGAGATATTGAAGTACATTTCTGCAAAATAGGGCAAGAGAAAAATTTAACCTAGTATATTTGTTTGTAACAAAAAACACATACAAACCTGGAAAATGATGATATCTGAGGGAAAAAAAATTAAAATTATTTCATTAATACACATTGAACAATTAACGATTGAATGTTTTATATAAAAAATGGAAGTACACACGTTTATCGTAAAATAAAAGCACCAAAACTGCATAATTGAAACGCGTTTTCTCCAATGTCCATGCGCTTGAACTTCATCTACACACTGTGCTTCAATGTAATATCTGTATTTGTCAGTGTCCCAATCGAGGCAAATTTGAGAAATGACGCTAACCTGGAACATACTACTCACCAAAGGGTAAGACGCTACAATTCACAACTGTGTTATTGATTCTTTTAAAATTGGTAAATATTAATGTTAATAAAGGGGACAAATCCTTTTTTATGTTTTCTATTTCTGTTTTCTTGAAAATATACTCCAGGAACATCAATTATCATGTGATTTTCGAAGTTTTGCTTATACGACTGCAACATACGTCTTTGATGACAAAAACATGGTGTTACTGAAACTTAGGAAAGCGGTTTCATGTATAAGGATTGCCCATACTCACTGAAAATCAAGAGCGTCGTATAGATACCGTCATTCGCAAAATAACCCTCTTTCTTCAAAAAAGCAAAAATACTTGAGAAACAAGGCAAAACGAATATAGCACATAACGTTGAGCGTACAAAATCAAATGCTTTTTACACATATTACATGTACAAGCTGAAGTCTTCCATTGAGTCAAAGAACAGAATCCGAATACATCCGGAAACATTTTCTCTCTCCCTTGAATAATATATATTACTTATCTGCTTCACTTCGTCAGTGTAATATACCTGAGCTGGGGGACTGTTTTGACCTCATTGAGGATTGGTTTTATCATTTTCCTGAGATGGCTCATTTGATGTGGGGACATTTCCTTCCAAAAGCTGAACACCCTCCCAGCTGACGCGTGGTCTTGCACCAGCTCGTTTGAGAAAACAAATCTTAGATTTCCATTATACTGTGTGTGTCCAGTCAGTCTCTTTGATTCCTCGTCTTTGCCTATAATCAGTATCGGCACAGCTGTGACAATTAAAAAAATGAAATTAAACGTTACAATGTAGAAATTGTGCTAAAATTGTTCAACTTTTATGTACTTATGCAGGTTCTTTTTAATTTTGAGTGTTATTCTTACTGTTTTCGTTGCAATTTTAATCTTCAGAATATTGCATTTAAAATAATTTTCATTTCCGATAAATTACGAACAAAAGTACATTTACATGCATTGTGGAATCATTTAACAGTTATACAATATAAATGGTTCACGCTTCTATGAAGAGACGAAAGGAATATAAAAAACTATCATTACTTACCTCCCCAAGTTTTAAGTACTTTGACAGTTGCTAATCTCAGATCTTTACTCCCGCTTCCATAATTCAAGGTGTTATCACACACAAGAATAAACAATTTAACGTGAGGTATTTTGCTAATGTCATTAAAACTTTCAATAACGTAATAAGGCGCAGACGCGATCTTGATTTCTGTGAAATAAGATAAAAGTGTCTCTATAACAGAATTGTAGATACTGAGACATTCTTTCCGGAAAAGTACGATACACATTTCGTTCCTTAGGACTCCGTGTTTAGGCGTTGATGGTGCAGTATGGGTAGGTGTTCCATTCTTTAAAAAAAACAAATTTATAATATTTCAGATAGATTAACGAGGAGGAACATTATCATTGCCTAGTAAAAATCGAATGATTTCAAGTATTGACTGGATTCAGACTATAAATGACAAAATGCTATTCATTTATGAAATCATGTACTATGTGATAAGCATTATGCAAATAAAAATAAACATGAATGTTATGTCAGTAGAGTGATAACTCTTGTCACATTGCAGCGTATTATGAGATAATACACAGTTAATATTCATGTATCTATATCCTTCCCCAACATTGGCTAAAACTGTATTTTATTTTAGAAATCATGTACCCACCTTCTTTTCTTTCTCGTCTTTTATGACGCCATTGGGTATAACTTCAGATCCATTATCTGTGGCGTCTTCTTGTATTGATGCAATACTGCCAGTCATGGCGTCTGAATGAGCTACTTCTGGTTTATTCAAGTATCTTCTTATATTAACCTCAATAGCTTCCTTCCATTCTCTACTACGAGGTCCTACCCTTGTGAAAATCTCAAACAATACTACTGTCAATAGGAAGTATAAAATGACTTCTGCAAAAGAAATAGGGAAAGAGAATTTAATGATGCCTTTATAATACAAGAATTTGTCGTTATCACTGACTGTACTTTTAATACATAAAACATTACTTGCTTCGCCTATGTTGGAAGTTAAGATTTCACAATGTACAATTGTTTGTTATTTAAAAAAAAACACTATTAACACGCATGTTTTTTAGGGGAAAAAAATCCTGACGTAGGATATACAGAAAATTGATATTGCAATTTCATATAAGTAAAAAGCACGTAAACGGTTACCTACCATCGAAAAAAATCCTAGAAGTTATCTCAGCTGCCTGTGCTTCAGCTTTACCACAATGTAAAGATATATTATCCAATTTTTCGAAAAATATTTTCAATTTTTCAGTCAAAATGTAATTCAATTCTGATTGGTTGAGAAAATCCCGCTCTAAATTCTCACTCTGCGAGATCTGATCCTTGAAACTGCTTTCAAGCACATTGATCTTGTCTTTCATTTCTGTGAAAATCATGAACCAGGGACACGATTCTTCGTCTCCTTTATGACATTCCTTGGTTGGGTCGTTGGTGAGTGTGTCTGAGTGTGAATCGGAAGCTAAAGCCGTCCAAACATACTGAAAGGATGCGATTACTCCAATCACGGAAAATACTGTGCTGAAAAAGTAATTGTCTTACAGTTGTAATATCTTTTGTCAATTATGATACATGTAATATAATTAATCAGAAATTCTTGTAAAAGTTCTATATCAGCGTAAATGCAATTTGCATCAAAAATTCACGTATGTTGATTTTTTACATCATTTTTTGTATTCCGTATGACTTGACAAGGTTGAATAAAAATTAAAATATGTTGTAATATCACGAGAGATATAAATGTAACTAAACTATATTAAATTCTGACTTTTCAAGTTGACAGTATAAATAAGATCTGTGCATAGATCATTAAAAGAGAATAACAAGCTCTTTCTTTCTTCCCCTCTTTCTCGCAAAATGTATTTGTAGAAATTGCCTCATAAAACCATACTTTGCATTATTAGGTAATTAGAATTGATTTCCCCGACCATCGATAAACCACAAACATCAATTTTCCTAAGTAGTGAACGTTAACTCCTAATAGTAAGTATATAAAAAAGGAGTATTGATTGAGAGTGCCAATATGTTACATTTACTTATTACACGTTGATCCGAGGCTTTTAGGAGCTATTACAAATTATGCTTGATATTGATGTCCCAAAAACTTTTTTTTAATTTCTTCAGCTGCACAATTTGAAAATAACGAAAGTCTTTTTGTATTTACTCGCAACATGTTTTAAAAATCGATTTTTAAGACTACTGAGCTTCAAAAAAAAAAAAAAAAAAAAAAAAAAAGCTGCACTTTAAAGCTGTTTTCCTCATTCTTGCATCTCACAGTGAATCGTTAACGTTGAAGGAGAAAATTGATTAAATACCATTAACTAATTAGAAAATTAGCTCGTGGTTACCTTATCTCCATTTTGATTTCACTAATTAACGAGATTTACCAGGGTAGATCAGTAATCCACACGTTTTAAGAAAGGCTTCATCAGGTAACAGTAGATCGATAACAAGAAATAATCAGATGTAGACATATAACACTGTACAGCTGTTACAGTGATGTGACAAGCCATGTGTGAATTTCACTGACGACTTCAGTGTTCAATGGAAGTTTTTTTTTTTTTTTTTTTTTTTTTTTTTTTTGGTCAATAGAAGCATTTTGTTATCAAAAGTTTAATGTTAAAGTTTGTATATATTTATGTATCTATTTATTAATTAACTTCTGTTTTTATTATTTTATCTTTGGTACTTTTAAATCTAATTTATATATTTACTTCATTTATTCATGTTAAATAAACTTATTTCTATATTTTCTTCCAAATGGGCATGAAATTAAAATTGACTACACATATTAAAAAGTATTCCTTTTATTTCTTTCTTCATTTTTTTTATATCTGTTTGGGTTACCTAAAGCAAAACAAATACCAAAGATCTGCAAAAGATTTCTTGGGAATCATAACCAGCAAATTAAAGCAGTCGTCGTTGCGTTTTATTAGAACATATTGTCAATAATTTCATGATCATTCCATTGCTCTACTTGCTCGTGTGTATGAATATTAACCAATATTTGCAACCAAACTTAGGTAGATATACTACATTAAGTTACTAGTACATTTATTCAAGATATCCAGTGCATATTACAACGCATGAAAATGGAGCTAAAAATGTTAAGTATTTTGAAGCCAGAGGTTGGCTAATTCGTTTAATTATATTAATACATCAGAATCAGACAAATTTACTACTCGGATATCTAGCATGTTGGAGAAGGAAACCAAAAGAAAGTAGAAATGAAATACTACCTAAGGATGTAGAGCACTCCTTTTGCTTGTCTTTTCACATTCTCAGGAAATCTTCCGAACAGTAAATCTATATATTTACGAAACTGTTCGTTAACAGATAGCATCCATCCCGGAAAATGATCGCTTAATTCGGCCATTGCTCTAGTTTTCCCTTCGAGCGGTTCCATCATCTTTGATTTTCCAGGAACCAAAACAGATCAATAAAATTATGCAGAATCATGGCTGTGTACTGCTGGGGCGAACTCTGTGTAAAGTTCTAGAGATCAAATCGATTTATGCAGGACAAGAATACAGTTTATATATTATATGTGGATGATCGATTGTGTTTTATGAGACGGCTAGTTACTGTAGGTTAAACATGCTTACAAATACATGAATATTTAAAAGAGTCCAATTATACAAAATATTTTGACCCTTTCAATTTGAATTCGATAATTAAATAGCTTAAAAAGAGTTGTCTTTCGTTTTTACGGGAACATTTTCATTTATATTTATGAGGTTCTCTTATTTGTTTGATTATTTAATCTGCTTTTCTAAAATAAACTCAGAAAGTTCCAGTCATCTCAATACGTATATCTAACAACTTAATACATGTATTTATGAAAGCACATCAATTATGATATAAGTAGGTGTGTTCAGAGAACAAATGACTTTTAGAAAAGATCTTTGTCTTCAAGAGTCTTGGAGAAAGTGAAATATTTCTATCTCATGATTTTATACAGATCTACATGTATTTACAATGCTTAGGAGAAAGCTTATTTTTTCCTAGGCATTGTTATCAATTTGTGATAAATAAAAATTAATTTTAACCTTTAAGCCTGGATGGGAAGGAGACATTTGGTGAAAAAAGATTTTACTTTCCTTTAGTTAATATATTCTCTATCTAATATTTTGATTTGCTATGAACTCTACTCTAGAGCTTTTTTGAGATAGAAGAATTTCAATGAAAAAAAAAATAATCCTAATAAATTTTCATTTGAAGGGAAAATTATCAAATACGGCTTTTGTGTCAACGATTAACACAACTCCCCCCATTTTTCCCTGTACTGTATTTGCTTGAAAAAAATTGCGATTAACACAAGTTTCCCCCATTTCCCTTCTGTTTTATATTTGCTTGAATAAATGCGACAAAGAGCACTTTCTTTGGTTATTATTATTATTTTTTTGATTATTAAAACTTGACCTTTGTTCGAAATAATAAAATACTGTTTTTTTTAATTCATTGTTGTCACTCTATTTAACTCGCTTTTGACAATAATTTAAATAAATAAATAAAAAGAGAGAGATATATCTTTACACTGATTCATTGGAAATCTTTCACATTACAAGGTATCTGGTGAAAAAATAAAACAAGTCTCATTTTAAATCGGTTTTAAATTATAGTTGTAGGGATTAAAGTAATGACGTAAATCACGTAAAATTTGCAAACATAGTTTTATGTTAAACATGGATGCAGGTAAAAATAAAAGAAGCTGAGTCTAAATGGCTATAGTCTTGTTATTGGGGGTCTGATATATGGGAGAACATTCAAGCATACACAATTACGTGTATGACAGATTAATAGCCAACCGATTAATATTCATATCTTATATAGCACACATCCACGTACATTGGAAATGGACACACCAGAAGGGTTCCAAATGTTCTTGGTTCAGTTTAACATTTCAATAATCATACTGGTGAATATATATATTTTTTTTATTTTACATAAACAACAGTTACATAACAAAGAAATATATTACAAGAGAAATAAAACAACTATATTCCATTCACACAAGCGATCACAAAATGTTAGTTAATGTTTTGAGCCAACTGACTATTCTTATTGAGTCCAGCATTTAGATGTTTCAATGCAAATCATATGATTTAAAATATGATAAATATTATTAATAATAAAACAACCTAGTTTTACACAGATACACATGTCAGTCATACACACAAGAATCTTGACACCTGTTCTCTCATGCAATTTTTAAAATGAACTAATCTCATACTTGGAGATTTTATCTGAAAAGTACAAAATCTTTCAGCGTAGCACCGTGTTTCTCAATCTTCAGCGAGTCTTGAGCTCCTTCGTGAGGCAGTTGACGATGAACAAGAGATGTTTTAATTTTCTTTCCATGTGCTGACTAGAACGTAAGGAGACTCAGGACATAGTTCTTCTTACTAAACAAAGTGTGAAGAATAAACCGTTTAGAAATGTCCTGAAATATAATTATTAATGAGAGTGCAGTCATTAAAAAAATCGGCATATAACAAGAGAAAGAGAGAAAGTCAGAGAGAGAGAGAGAGAGATAGAGAGAAATTACATTTGCTACCTTGAACTTGATGATGGATGAAAATTATTATCTATTGTTTTCGTATTTGTTTTTCTGTTCCTCTTTGCCATCTCGTAGCATGAAGGATCTAAATATGATAAATACAGTAACTTCAGTTTTAGATGCATGTTTCATGGATCACATAATTATTAATTAAAATTACAATTTTCTTTTGTTTTGACAACAAACATCTAGTAAAGGCAGAAACCTATCCAGAAATTTTTTTTATTCGAAAAACCAATGGTTAATAACCTAATTCTTACATTTATAAGCCTCGGCTGAATTATAACTGGTTGGACAAGGTGGTGTATGCTGTGTACAGTCTGCATCGTAATTGTCCTGAATGACCGCTCCATGTATATTAAACTCGGCGCAAAAACCTAAAATGTTAATAAAATAATCGTTCAAACAATAAAAAAATATTTTAATTTTAATACACAAGTGTAGCGAACATGTTTTTTTTTTTTTTTTTTTTTTTTTTTTTTTTTTTTTTTTTCCGTAATTTCAAACCATTGATCAAAAAGTTGCATTTCATTTTTTTTCTATATGACAGACATAAGACCGCAAAAAAACCGTTACTTGTATTTCTTGAAAATAAGTTATATAATATGTTAAAAACAATGTTGTCTCTGGTGTTGGTTTTTTCTTCGAGTATGTGTAAATTTTCTTTAGGAGTAGAAATAGTTTTAAAAAGGGATATCTTTAAAATTGCACTTTGTGCGTGTATTTTTGCAATATTTCTTTAGTTAATGTTTGTACTTCGAACATGTTGAATGCGGACTAATAAGAAAAATGAATCGCTAAACATTGAGCAAAATCATAACGTTGGATGTGGCTAGGGGCTGGGTGAGAGGGATTGAGATTCTAAAGAAACACTGGTAGCGTAGCGAATTACACACATACCTAATATTGTGCGATTTAATGCACATACTTCCATCGTAGCGTTACAATAAGAGTTTATTACGCAGTGGTATTGGAAAACATAATTCTGAGTATTGTATGGAGATCCAATGGATTCTGCACATGACTGTGTAATCGATGCACAATCTAATTTTTCTGCTGCTCTCAACCACGCCTCCTCATCATCTGGACAGTTTTCAACAAATCTCAAGGTTAATATGGAAATCTCGCACGTTCCAAATGTAGAAACCTATTAAAAGTACATCGATTTATTGAAGAATAAAAGAAGTGAAATTTTTCAAAACTGAAAACAATTACTCTTTCTCTCCTGTATATATGTAGGGAAACATAATACTGTTAGTAAAATCAATATTTGGCTTCGTTATATTTCATCTCTTTTCTTTGCATCTAATTTGTTGAAATTTGTCTTCAATTCGTATACAAATTCTGACATATTTAATTCATTCATTATCTTGCATAAAAAATGAATAAAAAGTTTTTAATTGTTACTTACGTTTGTTACACACATTACAGTTACTACAAAAATGATTGAAAAAATGTAATTTTCTCCCATTATCTTCTTCTTGCGAATGGAAATCGAATCCTCTCTACCTTTGAAATGAGATCAATCATTAATACATTAAATTAACGGTAAGAATTATATATAATTCTGGTCTAATAAACATCATACCTTTGCTAGGGCAGGTAACAACATATAAAGCTGAAAAATGTTCATTTGAAAAATCCTGCACCCAGAAATTTTCAATGCAAAAAAAATAGAACGAGAAAATCCCCATGAAAACCAAGTGCTGTTATTGAAGACTAGACATTGATAAACTATAATTCTTTCAATATATGAGAACGCAATATGTATACACTGTAGTTTTATCTGCTAGAAATAGGGAATATACAGTCATATGATTTATACATTGGAGTCGTGAAGAGGAACGTATTGTTGTGGCATCTTGAAAACTTTCAATTCAAGAACACTAACTCTGACTTTCGTAACGATACATTAAACAAATTTGAATTTCTGCATTTAATATTTCTTTACTTGGTACCATATTCACATTATACATATTATGTATTTAATTTATATAAAAATGTCAAATATGTATCAAAAGAAAATGTAATTTCCAAAATTGTAAAAAATTAATTGCAATTGAAATGATTTTTAAAGCAACGTATTATTTGATACCGTGGTTATCTAAACACATTTAGTAAGTGTTCTTTAAACTGCTTTATTTATCACCAGTTTACTTCGATTGATTTATCAGTCTGCTGATCACTTTTCTCTTGGTAGTTACATACACTGAATAAAAAAAAAATGTTACAAAAATGATAGGTGTTAATTGTTTTAAGTTTATTATGCATGTATGTATACATGTATTTCTTCCTCTTGTAAAAATAAATGTCGAAAGCACTTTCAAAATTCAAATAAAATTTAATAAATTTCACATATTTCGAAAAAAAAAAATACAATGAGAAAATATTTACTTTCTAGATTCTTATTTTGAAAGACCAAATAGGAAGGAAGCAAAATTAATGTGCCGTTTGTTTGTTTTTTTTTTTTTTTTTTTTTTTTATTTAATGACTCATTTGAGTCGTAACTACAGGCTCAGGTAAACCTTTTTTCGTCCAAAATTGTCTGTTATCTAGGGGGTCGTTGTCATCGTCATCTTCATTGTAATCTTTTCACTACTTCATATATTCTTTAAAATGAATGGTTATATTTCAACCCAACTCGACAGAAAGAATTCTTAGAAATTTTTACAACAACTGTTAAGACATTGAGGCCTTGCAAAGGATACGAGGGATATAGCAAATTCATGGTTCCCCTAGCGAAGCAGTTTTCTGCCGAGGGTAACCATAAATTTCCTATTTTTTGAGTATCCGTTCCATAACTGTTTTATTATACAGAAACAATCTAAATTAAAAGGAGATTTGTTAAACCATATTTTATATCGGAAGGAATTTCAGACACTGAAATAAAAAATATAGCATTGCTTTCATTTTCTTTTTTCATTCTGCTTTAAACTAATTGATTTTTCCTTTTTTATTAATCTTCCCCCTGGTTCAGGTATTTTTTTTTCTGGTTTCTCGTTGAAACCCAAGAGGATCATCAAGTTCAATTTTGTTTAGTCTATGCATAAAATTTCGTACATGTATATTTGCGGCTTTTTTAAGACATCGAATAAGACAACAAAAAGGAATATATTAGTACATTTTCAAATGATATTGACATCAACAATTTCGAGCTGGTAAATCAATGAATGAATTAACTAGATAAATCTTTATTCTAACTCTTATCTATTTGTATCAATGATACAAAGAAAAGGATGAAAAGGATTAAGTTTTATTTTATGAATCAATATTTATCAAACATTTCATTTACGAATTCAAAGGGTTTTTTTTTTGTCTTAAACAAGGATATAACTTATCATTTAAAGACTAGGAATATTTTTGCTTTCTCCATGCTTGGAAAAAAAAAGGATATAACCAAAAATTACTATTCAAACATGCTTAAGATTTTTTTATCGTTCATGTTTTACCGCCATTCTATTTCTCATACATTATGTGATAATATATCAAGAAAATCATTTTATATTTTATTAATTTATTTATTTTTCAAACATTTAAACGATAAACTAAATAATCAATCATAAAAAAAATGTATGTTTTCCCGCACTTAGTTCACAAAATTGTATATTTCCCTTCATCTTTGTGTATTTCTCAATAAATGTCACTATCTGTGGGAAAGAAGGAGTTTGTGCAGTGGTTACATTGCTTCATGATGGATCTTCGGGGGCACTCAACCCCAGGTACTTATCAAAACTTATTTTTCTAAGAAAAAAAAAATAGTTATTCCCTCATTTTATTATTACATGCATTTGTACTGTTCGTTTTTTAAATGCATTTTTAATACGGTCAGTGGTTGCAGGTATCAATTTATATTTTCATGGAAAGAACGCATGAATATTTGACAAGTTAATTTATGAGGGTGTCATTTCTGCTCTCTTAGGGTTTAGACACCCCCTTTTCTTTGTTACGCACACCATTTTCCTTTTTAAAAAGCAGTATTAAATATTTAATAGACTCCCCCTTTTCTTTCATATGCACACCATTTAATGAATTTGAAAACTTCTTCATTAATTTGTTGTCTTCCTTTTATACTTCAACTGACCAAAGTACCCCCCCCCCCCCCCTCCGCAGTTGTACATTATCTTAAGAAATATGCGTAGAACTAGCAATATTAAATACTGATCATAGATCTATGTGAAAGCAACAATTTGAATTCTTAGATATTAATTTTTCTAGATTTGTATTAAACTAATTTTATTTCCTAAGTTTGAGAACTGTCTCCTATTTTGCTTTTTTGCATCTGTTTGATTTGTTAATAAATCAATAACAAGGTATTTTTTCTGTGAATCCATGAAGACTCCAAGTGGTACATGTAAGTAGGTAATTTGTATACTTTAAATACTGACATAACTAACTCGTTATCATGAGATAATCATCGCGTAATAAAGAAAAAACTAATTCTTTAAACCGAGATAAAGAGATATTAAGTCGTTAAAAAGAGATACTAACATGTTAATACGACACAATTATCTCGTAATAATGAGACAATTATTTCTTTTTTATCTTCTCAAAAAATGAGACTTTTCGGCTTTCCTACTCGTGAAAATTAACACAGCCGTGCCACACAAAATATAATTCATGAAAAATACAAATTTTAATAGGAAAACAATATTAAAAGTTGAATATGAGTTGTACAATTTGCTAAATCTAAACATTATGTGTGCACCACTTACACATGTTGCATGTGCATAGTGTAGCCAAACATTCATAGATACAGAGCTTTTTACCAATCCTCAAAATATGATTTACATGTAAAAATCAACCTTTGAAAAAAAATTAAAATCTGACATTTGCCTTTTTACAAACAGGTGTATAAATATATGCATCATTATCTTTACAACTTTTCTCTCCAGCATTGTATCCTTCAAACATATTCGTTTGTTCTGATACTAGCTCACTCGGACGTGCTAGTTGTTTTGGAGATGTCTCTGAGCGTCTCTTTTGGGAATCAGTGTTTATAAAACTCTTTTTCTCCCTGTTTAAAGGTTCATTTTCATACTCAACGAGGAAGTTTTTCATCTCCGTAGCTTGTGGCTTTTCTGTCACACCTGTTGTGTACAAAGGATCGTAATCAATACTTGGTCCAGCGATATTGTCATCGATTTCATGGTAATGAATAACAGTGGCGGAATTATCTTTCTTGCGTTTTCTGAACTTCTTATATTTACGGCAACCACAATACAATACAACAGTAAACACTATGATGACAAAGAAGGCATTAAATGCAAAGATTCCTATTAATAATGGGCTGTCTGCACCGACAGTTAATGTGCCTCTGTCTTTTTCTTTTGTCTTTGGTATTTTGATTGTGTTGGCTTGAAGAAAATACGTATGGTAGATTCCGTTCCTTGAATGATGATACTGAGTTGTTGGTCGTTTATTCACTGTCATATCTAAGCTTTTAGCAGTATTTCTTATGACTTTAATTTTACTTTCCGCTGTAGGTGGTGTAGAAAAAATAGAGGATAATTCATACTGAATCGTTAGAACTCTATCGTCCTGCAAAGCAGCTGAAAAAAAAAACATAGAGGGTTCTGAGATCTTTTTTTTTTAATTGCATTCTTGCTGTACTAAGCAATATACTAGTAAATTGAATTAAAGTTGTCCGAAAATACATATATAATATACATGTAGCGTATATATCTACAAATGCAACTAAATAAGTCATATATATATAAAGGATTCAAAAACATAGTACAAATTGGGGCGTATACTGTTATATACTCACTTATGGTGGCTCGACAACCAATTAAAGGGTTACAAGAGGAGTTATCACATTCACATCGGAACTGGCATCCGTCCCCGTACATGGGAAATGGGCATATTATCTCACACTGCCTCCCGATGTAACCAGTGTTACAGGCTTTCGTATAGATAAAATAATTTAACATACATAATCAATCAATATTTATGTTACCTTCTTATAAACATGCACTAAAAAAACCTCAAAGAAAAAAAAAATGAAATTCTGGAAGCCATTTGCATGCGTATATCAAATGCACTCACGTATGCAAGAGCTTGTATTTCTGTCAAGCATAAATCCCGAACAGCAACCATGTCCACAACAATTGGACCTGTTGATAATCCCAGAGGAGTCGTCATTTAAAAAGTAGATTCTCCTTATTCATCTTCATTACTATTACAATGAAGGTAAACTTATACAATTGTTGGAGAAAAACTTAATGAAATTTCTAAATAGCAACTTACCCAATACATTGACATGAAGTCAGTTGTAATGGTATATATGTTAAAAGAAACGCAAGAGGACAAAGCTCTGGTTTTCTTTTAGAATCCATGAAAACGGCTCGAATTTATACAGTAAAAAATATCCGGAGAACAACAAAATATGGCGTTTAAAATCTAATCAAATACGTATTGGTTTTTATACGAGGAAATATTTTATCATTAAGCGTTTCCTGAAAAAAAAATTCAAAACATAGATCTGATGTAATTGAGACCAGTTTCAGAAATATTATGCATCAATTTCTCTACGCCCACTTAAAAGTCAAAAGTCATTGAACAATGTACAGTTTCAATACAAATCTGGCCATGTATTTTTAAAAATATGAAAATGATGTCAGCAACTAAAACCCATGCTTTCTGAATCCATGAAATTCAATACAGTAAGAACATTCAAATCGTTTTTCTCATTTGACTTCCTAAATGTTAATTGTGACATCATGAACTTGTGCATGCTCCTGCCCTTTACCACACAAGACACAAGTGATTGATTAAATTTCATTTCAAACAGCAAAGAGCAGCTCCTGCATTAAAATTGGTACCGATAAGATTTACATGTACATAGAGGACATGCATTGCGCAGAAAGATTGTGAGAAAAATGCTTCTTCAAAAGCTTTCACACAACATATCCGGAAATTGAAGTGGGTGATAGGTGTAGTCACTATTTTCTTAAGGAAAATATCCCTTGAATTTTTTTTTTCTTTCTATTTAAAACTAAGCAATGTATCAAATTAACGTCATATTTTTGGAATGGTTCTCCCTCAAGCAATATCCTTTTCTGAAATATGGAGAACAGATATCAAACTTAAAAGTCCATTGAAACAATACAAATCGGAGCAGAGCCAACACGAACCTCTGAAAAACATCAGATGTGGGATCAGGTGACATGGAGGAAGCATCCCCTGTCGACTGGCCACACCCACCATGTGCTCACTCAGCTATGTTAAGGAAGGAAATGGAAAATGCGACCTAAGTACCTTCTTAAAATGTATTATTTTAAAAAATCTTTATAACAAAGTAACTGTTAACATGTAGGAAAGGTAATATAGATATCCATAATGGATAGGTTTGGGTCCGCACACAGTACCATTTACATCGCATGCATCAGCTGTGTGTCACGTGACTGGTATAAAAATAGAATTGATAAGCTGAATGTAGAAAATGACGCTAGTGCAAGGGCATACGCAAGATTTTGGAGAGAAAAATTGTTACACATTAAAAAAGATTTACATCGGCTACCCGAAAAGTGCTGGGAGCTAGTTTGAACTGCTTCGGAAGTACTCGTAATTTTGCTGAAAATGCGTACAAAACCTAAAAATTCCTACTTTGCTTTAATTCTGTCATGAATAAAAATAATGCTATGCCGACCATAATCAGCTCCCAGCACTTTTTAAAATATACATGATATAAGCAATTGATATTCCGTATTTCAGCTCAAACAGTGTAGTCTATGCCCTTGCACTTTTGAGGTTAATTAGGAATACAATTATCGTGTTAAGGATATTCTTTACATTCTATGTCATTGTGCAGCTCCATAGCACCTAGATAAAATAATAATCTATATATGTGTTTTAAATAAATTATTTACTTTCAATTTAATTGATTAGATTTAAACATTTGCGATGGTTTTATATTTATTTAAGCATTTTTGTAATTATTAAACCAATGGATCCACTCCTCTGGATCACTTGTACTGCGTCAAGTAAAGGCTAGTGACGTCATTTCTGACATAAGATTTGCTTATAATTACTCGGCAGTGTTGTTATCAAATGTTGTGATTTTACATTCTTTTTTAAATAACTGATAAAATAAATGAATGCAAGTTTTCATTTACGCATTATCATGTAGTTAAATAGATTTTTGTCGCTTGTGAAATTTTTAATGACGTCACAATGAAACTTCCCATACAGTGCATCACAAATGTGAACTCAGGCCTTCCTTAACGTAGCTGAGCATTGTCATGATCAGGCAAACGTAAAAAAAAATCATTGACAATTAGTGTTTAAAAATATCCAAACAACTAATATGAATAAACGTCGGTCAGCATTCGACTTAATGATAGGTTGTATTTGCTGGCAAGATAATTTTATCGACCAAAGAACTTGCGTAATAGTGACTTTAAACGAGAATATTGAGATCCTTTGTTACATCAATTTCATCAACTTTGTTTGTCAATAGCTTGCCCATATGTAAGCAATTGTAAAGCATGCTCCTAAGAATCGAATAAACTGTGTGATATAGACCTCAGATGGCGGTGATGAAGGTACATTACTACATAAGTCGGGGATGTTGACGACAAACAGGCTGAAGTCATCACGTTCAACATCATGCAGATACTCAACTCCTATTTAAGACAATTTTACAATTTTTTGAAAACTTTAAATTACGTCATGGTAATTAAATTTATAACTTAACTTTGTCTTGACAGAGGTTGATGTATGACTCTTTTATTTTATTTTTCCTTTATACTATTTTCGAATTTTGTTACCTCCTTACCTACTTCAACATTGGACAAAAATAAATTTATGGTTATCAGAAGTATGATTTCACATTGTTTATTAATTGATTGTATATATTTTAACGTCCCATTCGAGAATCTATCACTCAAAGAGAAACGTCACCAAATACTAGCAAAGGGTTTTACATTGAAACTCAAGTCAAGGTTCGTTTGGCATTGAACAATAGCAATGTTTATTGTTTATTGATGCATTTTATTTAAGCTTTGGTCGCCCGCGTGGCGCAGTGGTTAAAACGTCTGCTCTAGAGTCGCGGAGTAAGGAGTTGATCCTTCGAATCCCACTGTGGGACGTGGAGACCGGTCCTTCGGATGAGACCGTATAAAACGAGGTCCCATGTCGCAGTAGGTGTTGGCACAAAAAAGATCCCTCACTGCTCAATGGCCCTACGTGGCGAGTATAGGTCAAAATTTGTAGCCCTCCACCGGCAAGTGGTGGCGTCTCCATATAAGTGAAAAATTCTCGAGAGGGACGTTAAACAACAATCAATCAATCGATCAATATTTAACGTTTGTTTCTATGTCATGCTCTCTTGACTGTCACCAAGGAGAGGACATATTATTATCGCTTAGAAAGAAATCAATTGTCTTGAATATTTTGTTAAACTTTATTAAACAAGTGTATTAACGAAATACAAAATGAACTATAAAATAGCTTTGGCACTTTTATGATGCCCATTCTCTGAAGGAAATCATGCAGTTCTTTTAGCTAGCTTCAAATATTCACTAGCAGCTGCAATCTGCTTGACAAATATGCATATCATATATCATGAAACAAAACTAGTAAGTAGTTACGACGCAATATATTGCAAAAACAATCACCATTTTTCCATTGAATCAAAACATTCAAAATTATTCTATTTTAAATGTTTATGAAGATACCCGTATATGATATTGAATACTACTGGATTCACCATTCAAACATTTCAACAACTACAACAAATAAATAAAATTAAATTTTAAAACACCAAGATTTGCACAGATTTTCTTTCTCCATGAATGCTGAATTCCACATTGTTTATGCCATTTAAAATATTTTTCGGAGGGAGATCATGTTTGATGAACAGCACCTTTTTTGCTTGATTTTGCGTCCCGTAACCCTCAAAAAGTAAGACGCCATGGTTTGATGCAGTGTATGTTGAGCCCGATATATTTAAATTTGGTAATTCATAACCAAATTACACAAAGAATCAAAGAAACATTGTCCTTCTAATTTGTAAACAGACCGTTAAGAGAAAAACGCTAACAACAGTCCTGCAATTAAATAATAATGAGACTTTTAAATGACAATAAACATGCATAAAAAATACGAAGAAAAAAAAAAAAATATATATATATATATATATATATATATATATATATATATATATATATATATATATATATATATATATATATATATATATATATATATATACAATTTACACGCAATTTGCATGCATAGAAAAATATATATATATATATATTTATTTCGCTTAACCTTTCCTGCCTACGTCACAATGTCTTACGTCTAAATTGTATTACTCCGCTTGATGTTACATTCAATTTTTTTTTAAAATTTTAATGCATTTTTAAAGGTGAACTTGTCATCCTTTATACTGAATCAGAAAAATTAGCTTCCCAAGTTGTACTGTATAACCTGGGTTGAAACAGTTTACGCTTTTTTATAAACCGCTTCGCTGTATATAAAGTGTCAACTTGGGTAGCTATTAAATTATTTTTAATATATGCGTTACCTGGAATTTGATGATGCATGAATTTTCTCTTCCTTTGTCGTCGTCTTTATTTTTCTGTTTCTTTGTGTCATCTCATAGCATGACGGATCTGATGCAACGAAAAAATAATTCGTTGAGAAATGAATGCATTTTTGAGACAATTAGGGTATCTATCCCCATGAAAACAAGAAAAACTTGTCACGGCACAATTTGGTGGATAATCTTACACAGAATAGGGATACTGAAAAACGAATATAAAAGAGTTGATGCTTACATTTATATGCCTCGGCTGAGTTATAACTCGTTGGACAAGGTGGGTTATGCTTTGTACAATCTGCATCGTAATTATCCTGTATGACCGCCCCTTGTACATTAAACTCGGCACAAAATCCTAAGTTAATACATAATAAATCCCATGAATAAAACATTTTTTCTTATAATTTGAAATCGGCTGAAATCATTTCAAATTTTGGCGGGGTTACTAAAAGAGCAGGTTGTGTTGGTATCTAAAAATGAATAAATAATAATAATAAAAAATAATACTTGCTTAAGACAAACATAATATTTGTTGCGCTGTTTAATTCATCTGTGCTACAGACTATTTAAAGTACAATATTCATTTATGGTATACGTTTAAAATTTCCCTTGGATCTTGCAATGTTGTGCCTGTTTGGAAATTAATCCACGATTTTGAGTTACAGTTGGAAATTTAAAATGCACTTCAACTATTTAGAGTCATCATTTCATTTTCAGACAGACCAAGACATAATTCCCGTTAGGGGCTAAGGAAAAATAAGGTGTGATGGATGTAGGGTTGCCATTTCGACATACATACCTAATATCGTACGATTAAGTGCACATACTTCCATTGTTGCGTTTCGCCACGCGTTTATTACACAGTGGTATTGGAAAATGTAATTTTGAATCTTGAATGAGGGTCCCATGGATTCTGCACATGACTGAGTAATGGACCCACAATTTAATTTTTCTGCTGCTCACAACCACGACTCCTTATCCTCTGGACATTTTTCAACAAATCTCAAGGTTAATTTAGAAATTTCACATGCTCCAAATGCATCAACCTGTTTAAAAATGATTTTCTTATATTCATGTTAAAGAAAAAAAAATTCTTTTATATATCCAGCAAGTTAAAGAAGAATATATATTATATAAAAGGATTATTTTGGCAATTTTCCTTGACGGAAAAGGCATCACGTATTATTCGGCCTTCTGTGATATTGACGCGAAAGCGAAATATGATGTCGCACGACTCACCGTTCGGCTGTGCACCAACTTACGTAGAACTTGACGTCATAATATAAGAAGCATGTTTAACCATTGTGACGTAATGACAGCCGAGTCCGTTCCGTTAGGACTTTGTCAGATTATTCACTTTGGGTGATTATATTATATAAATATTATGGGCTTCAGCGAACTGTCAATATGTGGTTATAAGGACCGATGTCAAGTGATATTGACCTCAGCCACAGAAAGTGATAACGACCTCTAAAGCTCGGTCGCTATACTGGTCTGTGTCTTCGGTCAATATCACTTGACATGGGTCCTTATAATTATCGATCTTCACTGAAGCCCACAGTTGTATAAAATCTTTTACCGTCCGTGTATTTAAAAAAAAATGTTAACAAATGCAAATGTTAGCTGCAAAGGTCCTATTATTTATAAACATTCATAAATCATGCATTGGATGATCCAAATGGTGGTGGGGGGTTGGGGGGTTGGGGGTTGGAGACCATTTCCAGTGTTATGAAACAAAAGTGTTGTATGCTTAAAATTACTTTGGGACACACACGCTCAACTCTTGTTAGAAAAGCAGGCCCCAACCTCTCATTGATTGGAAAGAATAATTATGTACAAGAAATGCAAATATTTTCAGTTTTTTCCCTGTTCCTTGTCGGAAAAGCTTTGCTTAAGTATCATTTTTCTAAACGAACCCCCCCCCCTTTTTTTTATCTGTGAAACTCTTCGAGCTTCGCATAAGCTGCAAAATGTTAAAGGTTTTCTTTAATGATATGAATTATACACGTATCGTTTTGTAAAAACACATTGTTACTCACCTTTGAAACCAACATACACGTTAATGTGATAATAATTGAGATATGGTTATTTTCATTCATTTTGAAAATTTCTGTCTCCGTTATGTACCTAAAAACAGAAGAACATCTCCAAAACAAATAAATAAATAGAAAAAAAAATATTAAAACCATTACGCGATTTTGAATTGTGTAATTAAAAAAAAATACAAAAGTAGATGATCCTACCTTCTATAGAAGTTAACATAAGAACTGAAAGAACACTTAACTAGGTCATTAAAAATTTTCAACTGAAAATTACCAGATTCTATTTTTAGAGCACAGGTAAATATTGCTATATATAGAGTAATGCTCTTTACTCTTAAACGGTGTACCAACGCAAAAACGTAGGATTTGTTTAGCACACACGTAAATGAAATGGTTACATAGCACAGACATCCTTTTTTTTTTACGGAGTTCATTAGCACTAACTCTAATTCTAACCTTTTGTAACAATACCAATTCTTCGTTAAAGTACAACGTGTACAACTTCATACTAAACAAATTTAATCTGTTTACAATTCCGCGTGTTTAATGGTGCTATGGTTATATATACAGTATGTAAATAATATATAAATATTTTTGAAAACAGTATAAACGTCTCTAAACAAAGTTTATAATTAATTAAAATTAATGAATTGATTAAAGATAATAAAAAGTTTCCTGTATTCATGTATATATTTCTTCCGGTTTTTAATCAACAACAAGGATCACACGTAATTTAATGGGAGAGAGAGAGTGTGTGTGTGTGTGTGGGTGTGTGTGTGTGTGTGTTTCCAATTTATTCCAAAATGCAAAAATAATTCCACTGTAAGAAAAATATTGCAGTTAAATATAGTGGTTACCACAGATGGTGTCTTATTTAATAGTTCTTGTGACATGCAGTCCTGAATCGAAAGAACCATGCCAAGGGTATACAACTTTTTAAAATATTAAAATAATATTTATCTAAAACAAAAATGACCATAGGCATATGTGTATTTCTAAGACTAAGTTAAATAAAATGTAATAATAAGGCATTTTTAAGTACTTGTATGGTTTTTTTCTTACCTTAGTCCTCCTGAATGCGGTTCTGGCTACTTTCTGGACAACAGGACCAAAACGTGTGTCGGTAGGTTACTGTCAACTATTTATTTATTTATTTGTCTATCTATTTTTATTTATTTATTTATTTATTCCGCAGTTATTTTATTTTCGAGTAAAATAAACGAGGCAGCGTAATTATCATATATTCTCTGGATGTTTCTTCAAATGATATTGTTAAATATCCATGTATAAGAATTGAAAATTTATAGTGTAGTATTTTAGCACACATTTTTTATTGATGTAGAATGTCCACCAGGATATATTGATCGATATTGCGAAATAAATTGTTCTTTTCCAACTTTTGGACTTTTCTGCCAGAGTAAATGTAGCTGTAGTATCGAAAAATGCCACTTTGTTGATGGATGCACCAAAGACATATTACATGTACCAAGTACGTAGGAATTTTAATTTAATGTCTAAAGTTTGAAATATTTGGATTTTAGACTGTCTTATTAAATCGTAAATGTAGATGTCATTAACAAAAGAAAAGATTCTAACCACAATATATCATAGTAGTTTATATTACAATTTTTAATATAATTCGTTGAAAAAAAATGTTTTAAATAAAATTCTAAATACTTCGTTTAAAATATAAAATTATTTTAGATATAATTCATTAAATTCTACGACTGAATTGATCTTTTCTTTTTATAGATATAGAAAATGAAAAAGAAGGAAACACAACTATCAAAGCTGAACCCAGGTCAAGTAATTATGTTTCAAAAGAGAAAGAGACCGGGAGTATATTATCTAATAGAAATACAAATGAAAGTCAAATGCGGAAAATGAAAGCTCACGGTATTAGCACGAAGAAAATTGAACAAATTCGAACTGGAGTCCTTAGCCTCGTTGGCTTAGCATGTCTTCTTTTTACACTGTACATAGTAACCTGCATCTGTTACCGTCGAAAGAACAGCTACAAAAAAGTGGGAGATAAAATTTTCACAGATGAGAAAGCTGTTTACGCTAATGAGAATTAAAGTTTAAGAATTGTTTAATGAACGACTTAGTGAACTAAAACTACTTTTTTCTCAAATAATAATATTGAAAGATTTACTATCATGTACCTTCCCCCTCCCCCTTCTTGGTAACTAGAATGTTACGTGCACGTTTTGTATTAAATAAGAATGGTGTTTTACGGATAATGATCGATGTATGAATCTTTGAAATATTACAAATTTGTGCACAGGCAAACTATATGTACCCTTGTACCCCTAGAGATTTCAGAGCCGGGATCAGGTTCCTGGGAGGACTAAGCACCCTTTGTTTCCGGTCACACAAATTGTGAGCTCAATGTATTGATCAAATAAACGGAATTGAGTTGAATCCAATTCATTTGGATTAAATCATGTGTACACATTTGATATATTTCACGGACTACATATTTGCAATGTATATGAATGATATTTGTTTATATTCATACCTTGTTGTCGCTTACTATTATTAATGCCTTTGACACCCATTTTAGACTCGGGAATTCAATTAAAGAAAGATAAAAATTAATGATTTATATAGAAAAAAAAAACATAATGAGCAATTTATGATATGGGTGATGCTTTGATGTTACAAAATCAAGTTTAAAAAAATGAAATGAAAAATATATGATCATGAAGATTACTGTGACTGTTATAATTCCCCAGAATGATTCATTTAACAATGAAAAAAAAAAATATGAGTTTGATTAATTAACAGTTTAAAGCAATGATACTAAATGTAGCTTTAAGTTAAATGACAATCCTGAAGTGCTTGTATATATAAAATAAGAATGAAAGAATGAAAATACCATCATCAATGAAACACTTCTTCCAATTTTCCAAAACCAAACGTACTCACTAATTCAGAAAGAAAATGATCTTAAACTCTTTTACTCAATCAAAGTTCAGTCCATCTGTACTTTTAAAGATAGAAAATCTTCAATAAGCACTTAGCGATACAAATATTTCATAAATGACTTAAATCTCATACCTTACATTACATGTTTATATACATCATACATTTGTGAATTTTATTTCCTTTTTCTTTTTTTGGTCGCCATATTGTTTATCTACCACCATGAACAGTTTTATCTATCTGTGTATGATGCATTGCAAAATATTATTCCTTGCAATTACCACTAATCCACCTCATAAACAGGGTAGTTGCCGATTCAAATTAAATATAATTGTTTGTCAAATTTATTGGGTTTAGTGTGTGTGGATATATTACATGGGTTTATAAAAAAAAAAAAAAAAAAAAAAAAAAAAAAAAAAAAACAGAACTACTCTTCATTCGCGATTTGTACAAATGTCTCTCTGATTACCCTTTATATTATTTCCTTGTTTTGATTTTCAATAAATAAGCACTAATTTGAAGTACATCATGCTTAATATTTGCATTTTAAACCACAATTTATGAAGGAACTATTTGAAAAAAAAAAAGTTCTTTCATGGTGAGCAGCTAATTACAAAAGGCATAGAAAGGTTCATCTTTGTAACTATTTATAAATAAGATTATCAAAGAAATCCGGGGATAATGAACATAGTCGTGCTCTATTGATTGATTTGTTCATTATCAAAAATACAAAATTTTCTGATTTAAACTTTTTTTTTTCTTTTTCTAACATTCACTGTTTAATCGTCTAAACTTTGACACAGTGCATACATTATGTTTTAAAACAGACTTAGAAGCAGATACCCGATCTAATTAAGAATATGGCACTGAGGGGATTTAATTGTTGCTTCTTTGTACGTATGAAATACTACCCCTGATAATTTGCCTAGTTGAATCCTACCTTCTCCGGTCAATTATTTTAGATTAAAATATACTGCAAACGTTATCTGAATTATGATAGTAAAGAAAAAAAAAACTTCCTTGAAAATTACATGTAGCATTATTTCACGAGGACTGACTATACTATAATAACTTTAAAAAAAAAATTAAAATTAATGTGCAACACAGACATATTTTCAATGTATATAGATTAAAACTATATATAGAACAATTTAAACCAGCTGTTAAAAATTCCTTTGGTTTCTTCAACATAGACAATGATTAATGTCATTCTTCCAATCCTTACAATTTGTGGGTACAATGTTCGTCGCTATAACTATTTTTTTTTTCTCACAACTTTTAAATGTACAGAGGAACGAATTGTGGTGAAATCTTTTAGAAATTTTCGTATTCAAAAAAACTTTAACAATGATTTTTTTTTTTTTTTTTTTTTTTTTTTTTTTTTTTTTGTGATCTATCGGGCAAGTTTTCAAAATATTCTTGAATTCGTTAGCTAATATTGCCTTTAATTACTATTCAGTGTATGTTGTATTTGTTAGATAGATATGTCCAATTTGTTACAAAACAAACAATTGAAAGGATTTTAAATTGTTTTTATTTTAATATTTGGAACCATTGGTATTTTAACATATTTATTCAATGCTCTGTAAATTGCATTGTGTTGATTTTTTAAATACCATTTTTGTTATCCATGTATCAATCTGCTGATCAGCTTTACAGGGAAAATCAGTTAATATATAAGTTATGTATTATTTCAGTAAAGGGATATTGATACAAATGCTGTCATCGATGCAAACTTACCTCCTTCTGCTCCATTGGGGAATGATGAATTTCACATATTCTGAAATGATTTTTCCACCATGCTAAAGTCGTACTTTTTTAATATTTAGGATGATTGATATACTTTTAATATTTGCTCACCTGACCCAATGGCTTGAGTTGAGCTTTTCTGATCAAGATTATTCCGTTGTCTGTTGACATTGCTATTATTATTATTTTTGTTATAATTTTGTCACTTCTTTATCTCCATCGTAAGTACTGAATGGCCAATCCAACCGAACTTGGCAAAACGAATCCTAACGCATAGGTTCGAATATTATTTTACAAAAAAACAATGTCCCTTTACTCGATGAGATGATAGAGAAACTACGTATTCAGAAGTATTCAAAAGTCTTTTTAAAAATATTCTTCTCAGAAGCTCTAGATCAGTACAT